CAAAATACGTTTTAAAATTATCAAAATACACCTAAAATAAAATGTTATATAGTTGAGTGCCAGTTTAGATGTACCCAGAATTGGAATATTTTTTTTATTGCAATCCTAAAATCTTGTGAAGCCGAACGTTTAGATAACCACACAATTTTGCTAGATTTTTAGATCGAAAGAAAAAATATTGCCGTGTCAAGACAAAAGTTATCGTTCAAAAAAATTCAAGTTAGACTTTAAATCTTTTTGGAATGGAAGTGTGGCCTTATCTCACCCGTGCAAACCCCATACCCATCTTTCTCACTATTTACCCATTACCGAACTCTCTTTTCCCAACTCTCTTTCTCTCTCTCATTGCAAACCCAAAACCCAACTCTCTCTCTAACTCAGAGAGAGAGAGGAGTGCAGAGAAGCTGGAAAGAAGGTTACAGAAGAAGGGAGAGAGAAAGATGGCATAAGGAGCTTTACCGTAGCTAAAGAGAGAAAGAGAGGATCAAAGAAGAAAGGATATACAGAGAGCACCACAATTTTCTGGCAAGCACCTCGACCTTATAACGTTTCCCTGTGGCAATGGCAATGGCGACTCTGCAACTCTTCTTAGGGACTTTCTTCTTTGTCAAAGCTTCTGCATTTCCGTCAAAATAGAAATATCTGCCCTCCTGTCCTTTAAAAGCTTCATAACCAGTGACCCTCTTCTTCCACTCTCTAATTGGGTACCTTTCATGAATTCGCCCTGCAATTTTACTAGAATCACATATGATGAATTTTTGGAGAGAGAGAGAGAGAACCCCAATGTCTATAAAAAATAACACAAACCCCCAAATTTACAGAGATGGACAAGTTCTCGCAGAAAACCCTAGGGTTCATCAGAATCAACGAAACCCAACATTTGGAGCGAGGGTAAGCTTAATACACTGAACCAAAATGTGCAGAGAGAGAAAAGAGAGCAAGAGAGGTAAGAGGGGAGGAGGGAGAGACCATTTGGTGAGGTGAGGGATTTGTGACAGAGTAATACAAATTCGTAGTGGGGGCTAAAATAAAATGCTCGTGTAACACCCAAACGGCTTTATAAGAAGGGTGCAGTTTGTTTAAAGCCTAGGCTCTAAACAATAAAATTAGAGCCTACATTCAAATAGTATCCAGAAATGTGGTTTCAATACTGAAAATCTTTGTGATAGTATTAAAATATATTTTAATTCTAATATATAAAGTTTAAAAGCTTCAAAAACAGTATAGATCGACAGATCTATGAAAACTTGAAAATCTTAAAAATTGACAGTCCAATAAGCATTACAAAATACACTATTTCTAAAACCAAAAATCTATTTTTCTCTCATGTCCATACATCTTGATGTCGAGATGATTAATTTGAATATATTTGAGTGTAAAAAAAGCCTCATCTAGTGATTTTTTGGAGGTAGGCTCTAATTTAATTGTTTCGAGCCTTGGCTCTATATAAAATTTTTCCTTATAAGAATAAAAAAAGGCTTTGTATTTTTTTCAATCGCCATTTGAAAAACTTGCAATTTTTATGAATAACAATTTCTTTTTATTGGACATTCAAACTGGCCCTCAACTGTGAGGTGCATTTTGATGAATTTCCCTAAAATGATATTATTGATTTCATTTGTTTTTGTATATTATTTTGTTGCTCATCTATTTCTGCTTACAATAATATTAAAATTGTATTATGGATTTCTTTTGATCTTTTAATATTTTTGTTATTTTCCTATACACATTACGATTGTACGCGCAACTCACGTGAATATGCTAGTAGTATGCAATACCATACTTGTATAATTTTTAGGGAAAGCTTCGTACAGAACCCTAATTCTCCATCTTATTTCAAGGGGCATAAAAAAATCCCTTAGGATTTCACCGTACCCCATCATCTCTTATCTCCCTCATTTATTCACTTTTGACCATAAAATTAGTCCCAATAACCATTTTATACCATTTCAACCAAAAAACGTTCAAAAAATGTTTCAAAAATGTTTCAATTTTTTTTTAACCCACCCCATTATATCTCCCATCCCATATCTTTTAACCCAAAAATGTTTCAAAAATATTTTTTTATTATATTTTTTACCTTTTCAGCCCTCAATGCCATGTTGAGGGCTCCCAATCTATCTCTCATATTGGGTTGATATGGTATAAAAATGTCTGTTGGGGTTAATTTTTATGGTCAAAAGTGAATAAATGAGGGAGATAAGAGATGAGGGGCACGGTGAAATCCTAAGGGATTTTTTTATGCCGCTTGAAAGAAAAATAAAATGAGGGTCTACCATGAAATAAGATGGGAAATTAGGGTTATGTACGAAATTTTCCCTATTTTTTATTTAAATGGAGAGTCAATTATAAACTACAAATATACGTAGAGTTCATTTATAAATTAGATAACCAGCCAAATCAATGTTGAAAGATTGCAATGTGAGAGTAAACAATCTACCCCGTACTATAAAACCAGAGAAAAAAAATCACTATGTTTTGATATTAACTAATCATGTCAAACACATACAAATTTTTAAAATTATAAGAGTTGTACAAAGTAACCAAATGGGCCAATGCATTTTTCCAACAAAAGTTCACTCCCTCCCAAACCTAAAATGTTCACATCCTCATAAAAATAGGGTGTCAATGAATATAAGGAATATAGGTTGTTGAGATTTACTACAAATAATATAGTAGGGAAATATGGACTCACACTAACATTCTCCTATTTTAAGATATTTTTCCATTGACAAGTCAAGTCCGAAAAATTGTTGCCTATGAGTTATTAATTCAACAATATGATTTTTTTATAATAAAATTATCCCATTTACCACATCACAAACAAAATGATAGTGAACATCAACATGTTTAGTCATGTTGTGGAAAGATGGATTCATTGCTATAACCAAGGCACTTTGATTACCGCAATGAAGCGGTGTTCCTTCTTATAACTAATAACTCACCAAATTCCTTCTTATAACTAATAACTCACCAAATAATATGTTTAACAAAATTATTTCTTTAGATACATGGGTAAGTAACTTACCCTCGACTTATTTAGAAGACAAAGCCACCATAGATTGCAACCTCGAAAACAAACTAATTGACCCACCTTCCAAAGAGAAAATACATATGGTAGTAGACATCTTACAATCAATCGAGCTCTGCACATTTCAAAAACATCATCAAGACATTTCCTCTTCTTAAATACTAGGCTTTTGCCCTTCCAAACATTCAAAGAGGTCCCATACTTTATTATTTTGTTGCAAGGCCTCCATCTCTTCGTCATAGATGTTTTGCGTTAACCGACTTCATTGATCTCACATGCTTTATGATAAAAAACTATCTCACCCTCCTCTGTTAGGAAACACAAGACAAGACAGAAACCTTAGGGAGCTTTTTTATATCTTTCAAATCTTCATAATTCAATACAACCTAAATATTCTTTAAGGTTTCAAACCTAGAAAGGAGGCAAATTAGACATTTTCTAACAAAATAATTATAGGCACCTAGGTGTAATGCTTTGGAGTTGCTTTAATGGAAAATTTATTGATTTAACCACCTCATTGAGTTTTTTTAGGAGGTTTGACCGTTTGATATTTTATAAAATTTTAAATAAAAAACTAAATAAATTTTTAGAAAATAAAGTTGTCCAGAGTTATAGAATTCCCGACGAAACAACAATAAATGCCTATCAAAAAATGGCAAACTAGTAATAATTTGAGAAAATTATCCCATGGTAAGATATTGGAAATGATATCTACTACCATAATTTCAAATACCATTTGTGAGTCACGAGACATATTATTCTGATTAATCCTATTTGATATCTTATTTTATTAGTATTAATGGATTCAACATTGTATTGTTCACAAGATTCATAGTTTCATAACTATTATACGAACACCATGGACTCACCCGCAAATAACCGTCAAAGTTTGTTCACAAATAAAGTTTTTCCGTAAGCATACGAAAGCGCTTTCGCACCGTTTTTTTTTTTTTTTAGGTTAATCAATGGGAAATATAGGCCCTTACTCGTTTTAAAAATAGTATGGGGATGCGTCAATTGAAATAGAAACCTTGATCAATAGCTGTGATTCAAGAGGTGCCACCACTACGACCTCAACCCCATTCCCTTTAATAAGAATGGAGCTCCATTTTCTTACCTTTCACATCTTAAGAATGAAGCTCCATTTTCTTACATTTCAAAGCTAAACATTGGGAAACATTGAGAAAATATTTTTCCAAACTGCTACCTATAGTATATCCTTTCTAGAAAACAAATAGCTAAAAATGATAATCTTACATTTCAATGCTAAACATTGGGAAACATTGAGAAAATATTTTTCCAAACTGCTACCTATAGTATATCCTTTCTAGAAAACAAATAGCTAAAAATGATAAACAGGAACAATGAACTTTCCTTGTGGCCATGATGTTTGCTACATTTCAACTGTATGCAACGTTTCCAGCATTTCGTTATTGACATGGAAGTATAATATAATCCAAATAAACCATATAATAAACATGGCTATATGGTTTACCAGCCCATCCAAGTGTTGGACATTGTAAAAAATGGGCACAAGTACTATGCTCCCATGGCAGCGTATTGTGCATTTACTCCCTCATCCAAAAAACCTCTTGTGAGGGTCTTTTTAATCTAAAATTTTGGAAACCATATAAGAATTGGTAGATGATTATTTTTTTTTAAAAAAATTTGAATTTTGAGTTTTGTGACACTTAGATGTAGCATTTAAAAAATTAAAAAGTTTTCATTCAATCTTGAAGCATGTATTTTTTAGTACATAGATAATTTATTTTGAAACTTTGTTTTTGTTGAGATTATTTTATAAGTTGTTAGAGTACATCCCCAACATGTGTTGTGTCTAAGGAAGTAAATGGATAGTATACTTCCTATAGAGTAGGAAGTCATTAGATAGAATAGGGGTATGTTTACAATTTTTTAGCAAATAGGGGGTATTTCCAGGCCTCGTCATATATAATGTGAAAAAGCCCTCACTGAGACGCTCTGAAGCCCTAGAAATCGCAGAGGGGACAGTGAGGGCCGCTAACCCTAGAAGGAGACAGAGCGGCGATTGTTACTGCAAAGATGGTGGCTTTCAGAGTAAGCGCAAGGCCATGGTCTCTCCATCTCTCTCTTTACATACCAGGTATTTCCTTCTCGTTCCATTTATACTGAGTTTTAGGTTCATTTTTTGTGCAGTTTCATCAGTATCAGGTGGTGGGCCGTGCCCTTCCAACTCCGACCGAGGAGCACCCAAAGCTCTACAGGATGAAGCTTTGGGCCACCAATGAAGTCAGGGCCAAATCCAAGTTTTGGTACTTTTCAAAACCCTAGCATCGATTGTTTTTTTTTTTTTTTTAACTATTTGTATATTATTTTTTACTGTTGCGTTCTGTATTCTTGTAGATCTCGTTGATTGATTGATTGGAATAAAAATATTAACTAGAATTGGGGATTCACTATTCATTATGCATTATCTTATGATGGATAACTTTCAATGCGTTTCAGCATTGAAAAGGAGATCACTTGATATTTTGTTCTCTAAGGTTTTGCTTTGGCTTAGCTGAAAACTTTGATTTAGATGAGAAAATCCAATGACATGCTCTCAGGGCGGAGTAGCATAATCTGATGTTATTCATTTTGGTGGCTAAAATGACAACTTGTGTGTCCTAGATATTGCTTAATTACTTCCTCTATCCACCTTTTTGTTTTTGTGCTTCTCACGCAGTTATCGTTACTGATAATGATGTATGATGTATTTGTATTTCTGAGTGGAAGCTGTTAAATAAAGATGAGTGTCAAAGCCATCAGGTTGGCTCTACAATTTGCTATTTTGCCATAAGAAGATTATTTACTTATCAAAACAAATAAATTACCATCATTGCTGGACTGAAAATGATGGAATAAGATCAGACTCTCCACAAAGGTGTTGTCTCACATTTCTGGATTGCTTGATAATGTTTTTGAGGTCTCACCCAGAAATGAATTACAGCTGAGAATGTAGGAAAAAAAGAGAAATAAATTGATAGTTGACGATGAGTTTGAAGGCTATCGATACTGTAAAGTGTTACAAGCTATTGGAAATGGTTGGATTGGGCTAATACTTCCATTCAAAGTGTTCTAAGAGTTAGACAGCATCATAAAATTGCTGCAAGCTATTGGAAATGGTTGGATTGGGCTAATCCTTCCTCTAAAGGTTGTTCTAAAAGTTAAAAGAATCATAAATTTGAAATAAATAAAGTTTTTTTAATATACATGTTTAAGGGCGTGGCTAAGATGTGTTCCTCCACATTATTGTCTATAAAAATGCAGTGTCATAGCATGCTGAATGCCCGGAAAAGGCATGCTAGTTATTAAATTTGGTTAAGCCTGGAAGGTCACACAAATTTTTTATTGAACCAGCTGGGCTCTCGCTGTTCTGGGTTATACGCTACTTAGATCTGCTCTGCTGTCAACTTTGAGGAAGTTGTTCTTTTTGCCTTTTTATTGGTTTTTTTTATTATTATTTCTCTCTTTTTTCTCCTTATCTTTTTTTTTCATCTTGTTTTATTTTTCTTTTGGTTTTAGAGCTTATGCTGGAAGACTGGAAATGTATGCGCAGTTTTTATTCATTGGAAAATATCAGGCCCTTGGAAGTATTTTAATGCAGAAGAAGGAACCTGCTCATATGAATTTTCCCTATATGATATGCCCTTTTAAATAGCCAGTTATGGTTTGCACAGAAGTTGTTTCCATTATTGTGGCATATCTATGAAGTTATCTGAATGCAGTAGACACCAACCTGTTGAGAATTTCAGCAGATGCACTGTCGGGTAAGCTTATCAAACCCTTTTGTAGATGTTAGCATATGGGAAACATGAACTCCATGGGCTGGGGTGTTTTGATCCTCTTCTTGAGGATCTGAGCAATCCATGGTGGACTCTTGGACTGCCTACCTGATGATGTTTAGAAAGTCACCCCCATGAGAGGCGATCTGTGAGTGTCTTGGAGCTTTGAGATTGGTCTAGAGGTCTTCAGTTTCAACTACGGTGGAATCAGCCTACTCAAAAATCTCTGATAAAGACGTGGAAACTACCCTGGTCAGATTCCGAGTGAGATGTGGGCTTGTTGCATGGTTGATGTGTTAACACCTTAATGTGATACTTTCCCATAGAATTGGGGCTCAGAATCTCATTGCGATACATATGAATCCATGGGGGGCATGTGATCTTATGGTGATGGCATGTTTTTCCCTTTCTATAGAGGGCAGCCACCACTAATTTTGAAGAAATAAAGGGAATAAGATGGTGGCAATGAGAAGGTGAAATGGGGTGGTAATAGGTTGGGAACCAAAAAATATATATAAACTTTTTGAGGGAGGATTGCATTAGAGATCTGATGGTGAAACTGGGTAAGTATTGTCATGGCTCCTCACTGGAATATCTCATAGCATATGTAGCAAGTTATCGGCAGTTAGGTGGGTTTTACAACCCCCTCTATACCCTTTTCTTGTTTGATTTTCTATTATGATGTTTAGTGACTTATTGTTTCTAAATATGAATGTGTTATGGTGTCAGTTGTTGTTACTTCTGATTTGTGCATGTTATAGATCATTTCTATTGCTACGATCTAGTTCATTCACTGCTTGATCCGCTGGGATATGACAACATTTCATTGTACGTGGGAATAATTGGATATGACAACATTTCATTGTACTTGGGAATAATTGACCATGTTTTGAAATATTTTTAGGATATTTTTGCACTCTCCTTGCATGTTAGATAAACTATATGATGGTGATTTCGTTTGGAACTTGTAATTATAGCTGTATGCTCAAATTACTGGTGCAAGTCTTTAGTTTTGGTTCGTTAACTACGGTGGTTTTCATGAATGATTAATTGTTTGAGATTGTTCCTCATAAACTGATGCTCACAGGAAGGAAGGGGGTTTTTATATTGTATTTATTTCCTAATTTATTGATGTTTGCGTTTTTTTTTAATAGGTATTTCCTCAGGAAACTTAAGAAAGTTAAGAAGAGCAATGGTCAAGTGCTAGCCATAAATGAGGTCTGTTTACTCATTTAAAATTTGCAGCATCGATTTTGTTTACATATTCTGTGCCATCACTCTTCATTATATAGGATGCTGATCTCTTCTATATAATTCACCAAAATTCAGAACCACGAAAAACAGCTAAAGCAGAAAAAGTAGCAGACATACAGACAGAAATTAGATGTTTTTAAACTCAAAAGCCCTGGAAGTTTGCAGCAATAATTAGGAAAGCCAGAGAGAAAACTGGTAGCATTCGGTTTTCATAAAAAAATTTACCAATTTTTAGCAGCATTTGATCAGAATGGCATTGGGATCTGTTCTGATCATGGTCTGACTCGAATTAACTGTAAAAGAGTAGTTTGCCAGAAATATTCCCCTTGTTGGTTAATGATTAACTGAAAACTTTCCAAATACAATTTAAAAAAAAGAAGAAAGAAAAGAAAAGAAAAGAAAAATTTGGAATTTCTTCCTCTGGGGAACAGATACCCAAATTCTGGATTAATTTTTTTCTTTCCACTTTTGTTCTTTATTTTTAAAAATTGGGTGAAAAGTCAAAATGTGAAAAAAAAAATCCAAATAATTGTCCTGCTAATTTTGGTTGAATATCCTGAGATGCACAGCTGCTCATATATACTTAGAAGCTGCTCTTTTGCATCCTCTTTTATGGTATATTCCTATCAAGTAACAAAGATCGATATTATGCAGATTTTTGAGAAGAAACCCACAAAGATTAAAAACTATGGCATCTGGCTGAGGTATCAGAGTAGGACTGGATATCATAACATGTATAAGGAATATAGGGATACCACACTGAATGGTGCAGTTGAGCAAATGTATAATGAGATGGCCTCACGTCACCGAGTGAGGTACCCATGCATCCAGATCATCAAGACAGCTACCATTCCCGCAAAGCTTTGCAAGAGGGAGAACACCAAGCAGTTTCATGACTCCAAAATCAAGTTCCCCTTGGTTTTCAGGAAGTTTAGGCCACCAACCAGGAAGCTCAAGACTACCTTCAAGGCATCAAGGCCCAACTTGTTTATGTAAGTTTAGAGGCTCATGATTCGAAGAGAAAGGAGAAATAGTAGGTTGTCATTGCAATCAAACAGTATATTTATTGAACTTGTTTTTTGTTTTAATTTTGAATATTCTAATTTTGGGGTTGCTAGAGATATGGTTTTTTGGATTTTTAATTTTAAGATGAGTTCTGGTTTTGTTTCGTTGGAAGCAATCTTGTTAAAGCATTTATCACTAGGAACCTTCAGCTATATTACACCGGTTGGTACTTGTTAACGAGTGGAACCTAGGGCTCCTTGTTTCTTCTCTTCCATGTTCTATTTTGTGCTTATTGTTTGATCTTGCAATCTTTGGTAAGCTGCGGACCTCAAAAGGCGTCTGTCTTGGTCTGCACCATTTTGGAAAGATGTCAAAATTTGACTTGTTGGTTTGGTTTTTCCTGAATAGGAAGAGCGTCCATGCATTTGAAAATTATCACACTTTAAATGATTCTTCAATTATATAGCTGGTTCTTGATCTCATTCTATTTCCTGTGATTCGGTGCATCTTTTCGGTACTGTTGTTGGGTTATTTGCCTGTAAAGGGTGGTGATCTTACACCATAAATGGGTTTTTTTGCATGTAAAGGGTGGTGATCTTCCACCATAAAAAAGTTGTATGGTATATGTATTTTTTTTTTTTTTTAATGTTTGCGTAAGTTGTGTGGTTCCATATAATTTTGAGGATTTGTATTCAGATAATTTCATGTAGTATTCCTTAAATCCAGAACGCAGTGCATTTCAGCCATCACCATTATAGTCTGACTACCGTGCGATAGCGAGAATAGAGAATGGGCCTCAAGAAAAATTGTTCATGAGGTCATGGATGTGAATTCAAGAGGAGAGGATTTAACATGTTTGTAGTAGTCGATTTTTGTGATGGAGCTCAGTTATGGATCGTTTGCAAGGCTTAGGTTTAGGGCATCTCAGAGAGTGGTAGAAGTCCGAGCATTTGATCAACTTTTATTGGAAATCATCCAAGTAAGACCTGCAAGTCCATTGTTAAGTAGGGCTTCTGGGGAGGCTGGGCTGGTGGGACTAGCTTTGGGCCACGCCTATAGCCTGTGAGCAAGCCCAGGAGAACCTTGGCTGGGCTATACGCACATGGATAATTTACAAATTTATATTCCTTGAAAATGGAAAGGTTAATGTTAGGGTTTAAGTTTACTTGGCCCGGCATGGCATGGCATGGCATGGCGCGGCGCGATTTTGGTTGGGTTACCACAAATTCATAATCCCTGAAATGCAAGGGTTAATGTTAGGCTTAAGTTTGCCTGGCCCGATTTTGGTTAGGTTGCCACAAATTCATAATCCTTGAAAATGCAAAGGCTAATGTTGGGCCTAAGTTTGCCTGGCCTGGCATTGTGGGGTGGGGCGGGGTGCGATTTTGGTTAGGTTGCCACGAATTGTAGTTCAATTTATGGTTGGCCTTGGTTTTTCCCAATTTGAGCCTGGCTTATTTGCATCCATCCAATTCGAAAGTGAGGGGATTCTAAAATAGGCAGTATCTTTCTTCCTTCATACTTGCTCATGGGGTTGAATGCCCTGCCCTCCCTGTCCATTAGCTCTTTTTGCCGCAAACAAAGAGTACTCTTACTTCAAAACAAACAGAGAATGCTTAATTAATATATCCGAAGGGTCCCCTTGCTTCGTTCCCTTGTTACAAAACGAGAATGGCACCTTGTACCCTTGGACTCTTACTCTGACTAATTAAAGTTTATGTTAACGTTTAAAAAGAGAAAAAATAATGGAAGTATATGTTAACGTTAAAAAAGAGAAAAAATAATGGAAGTTTACGTTAACGTTAAAAAAGAGAAAAAATAATGAAAGTTTATGTTAACGTTAAAGAAGAGAAAAAAAAAAAACAATACAAAACAAAACGAAATGGTACAGCATCCAGCATTACAAATAATTGGGTTGGAAGGAAAGCTAACACTCGTACGGACTCGTACCCTTAGGGCTGAATAACAACTGGGAAATTATTTGTTCGCCTTGGTACATTGTCCCCGTCCTTTAATTTGGCGGCTTTAGGAGCATTTGTTTAGCACAATGATTTAAAAATCGACACGTCGCAACGGATTCCCTCGAGTCGGCACGAGAATGAGTTATCCCGTGTCGATTTCAATGTAAAATCGGAAACCGGTCGGTTCGTTCACCCTGTGCCGATTTCAGTGTAAAATCGGGAACCGCCGCCTGGTTTTAGAATGAATCGGCCGGTTCAGCACAGTGAATAGCTTGTATGACTTCAGATGTCATTACAAGCGATTCACTTAACAATCCAGTGTAAAATCGAGAACCTCCGCTCGGTTGTAGAATGAATCGGCTGGTTCTGCACAATGAATCGCTTTTATGACGTCAGACGTCATTACAAGCGATTCACTTAACACGTGGCAAAATATCGATTTTTCATGGTTTACACGTGGAAGACTACCGTCACCAACCCGACACATGTGGATGACAACCGCGGGCACACGTGCACAAGCCTTAACGAACTTACAAAACAATGTATAGAAGCGAAACTAAAGCTTGCTGTTGGATGTGGGATAATTCCCACTATGCATTAAATTATGACGGAATTTGGATAAGTATTATTATTGTAAAAAACAATTACACTTGCGCTGATATGACGGAGTTGTTATCACTTCTACATTAAGCCTTTCATGTCTACCGTTTGATTCCGCTTGGACACATTTTATTTTATTTTTGTTGACAATAAAAATAAGCAATTTTTTTTTTTTTTTGAAATCTCTCTCTTTCTATTAACAATCTTTTTTACTAAATTTATTCTATAAATCTAAAAACCTATTTTTTTTAAAAGAAATTTATTCCATTTGAAATCTCTCTCTTTCTATTAACAATCTCTTTTACTAAATTTATTCTAGAAATCTAAAAATTAAAAATTTTGAAAAATTAAAGTGTTCTTTCAAAAATTGATAGGCATTCTAATAATTTCTAACCAAAAGTTTATTTTATTTATTAATTTTTGCATTATAAATCACGTAAATAATTACCTTTCTTACAGTTCTCAATAATAAATTTTAAATTAGATTGTATTACAAAATATTTTAGATTTGTTATTATTTGTATAATAAAAATTAGAAAATTTAAACCAACAATTTTAATTTCAGCATATAACATTATAGTTAGTGAGGTTGTAATAAATTTGGATTATAGTTAGTTTGTAACAATTTGGGTATTTTTAGGGGATTAGGGCTTTCTGCCAATTTGAGATTTTGATGGCCATTTTTATAGATTAAATCTACTCTTTATAGTAATCCATGTATGATTATATATTTTTTCCATGATAATTATATGATTTTTTTTATGTGTGATGTTAATTTAATGGTTAACATAAGTTTACATAGAGAAAAAACATAATAATATTCACAAATTGATGAAAAAAATAAAAATTAACAATGGAGTACCCTCATTTCTTATTGGATTCCTAAACTACAATATTTATAATTAATTTTAATAACTTGTTTAGATTTTTTTAGGACTTAATCCGGTTGGCCGATTCCCAATCTGGATCGCCGATTCACCGATTTGGATGGGTTTTCGAAGTGCCTGATCCAGGGCACCGATTCGTTTTTTAAATCATTGGTTTAGAATGTTTCTTGCACCACGTTTTTAAAATAATTTTTGATAAAAAACCGCAAAATAACATTTCTGGTTGAGAAAATTCAGTAAATACATCAATTTTAGAGTAAAAGTAGTGTTAAATCACTGTATAATTTGTTTGACCCCAAATTTTGTAAATTACCCATTGTCAATGATGAACAAGAAAAAAAAAATGCTCACCAAGTTAAAAGAGAAATCATTTTCTTTGTTTCTTTTTTCCTTTTTTTTTTAAAAAAATGTTTCATAACAAATTCGGGCAAATAAACCCTCCTAAAGCCCCCAAAACTCGGGTAACAAAAACTTTACATGCTGAAATTGACCGAAACAACAACCCACCTCACCCTCCCAAATTAATCCCCCAAAAAATAAGAGAACATTTCAGTGGGTTGCAAATTGGTTGATTTGTATGATATAAGAAAGAGTCACGATCTTTTGGCACAAGTCCATGTACCCAAAGAGCGCAGTGTCCCAGATCTGTCTTAAGCCAATTATCAACCCCCAAAAAATATAGAATTTATTATCAACCGCCAAAAAATGTTAAAGTTAATTAACCTCATCAACAAGCTTTCTATTTATAAGAGATTCACTTGGGATGTCAAAGTAGGAACCTAAAGAAAAACATAATAAGGCAATCACTTTTTTTTTTCCGAGAAATTTTTCTTCTTCTCGCACCACATAGATTTATTTTGACCAATACATGATACTCTTTTGGTATCCTTAAAGATCATGTATTATATTAGGAAGTTTCATCGGATTGTTTCTTGTTTCTCAATCCTTATTCTATATTCTATTGAACTCCTATTTTTTAGCTGCTGCAGCAGCTAATTGACGTAGGAGCCAAAAATGTCACAATCATATTTCCATTGATTTGTTCATGTTGAAAGATAACAACTAAAATTGATTGTAACACAACATACGTTTTCCAAATGTTTACATCATAACAAAGTCCAGATTAGTGATATTCGACGCTATGGATGCCGAAACTTTGGAACCAAGAGGGCAAACTGTCAAATAGCGATACTCTGAAGTTTTTAAGCCCACACCCGTAATCCCTCAAAACAGTATGCTATTTAAGACCTTTCCCATCACGGGAAAAGATTCAAGTAAACATTAGGGATTGTATGTTTTTGTTGTTTCCCTTTTCTTTTCCTTTCTTTTCATAATCCTATCCTTTCTGTGGTAACTTTTTTTTCACTTGACTTTTCATGTTCTCAGAAAGAGAACTTAGCAACCTCTTCATCATCGCTGTCATCACCATTGTCTTCGTCTTCCTCTTCTTCCATTGAGAACCTCTCAAAATCTTCATCTTCTTCTTCCTCGTCCTCTTTCTCTTCATCCACATCCATTGCACCCCTACTGCCTACACCATTCTTCAGGCCTGTGCTCAAAACCACTGTCTCGCCTCGTGTTTTCTCCATATCCTTTCGTAATTTCTCCATGTTTTCTCGTCTTCGCTCTTCTTCTAACCGATCTTTCTCTGCCCTTCTCTTGTCTAGATCAGCCCTACAATTCAAACAACACCAACCACATGAAATGATGTGGGATGTGTTGGAGCATTTTTATGCAGGAAAAAGAAAAACCCAACAAAAAAACCAGAGAATGAGTGTCTCTAGATGTGGTTTCATGCTCTCTTTCCAGATGCAGTTTGACTCTCTCTCTCTCACACACACACACATGCTCGCGCATGCATACACACTCATAAGACATAAACCAGTGATTGTCACAGAAAATGCAAGGGTGAAGTCACATATACTTGTAGGTGTCCATGAACTCCTCTGCGCTTTGCTCAATGGCAGAGAAGAAAGATTGAACCCCAGCCCCAGAGACTGCTGAAATTCCAACTGACCGAAGATTCTTGTAGAACTCATCAAGGACAAGGGCAAGGCTTCTTGTGAGGGTGGAGGTGTAAGATTGGTCAGACTCAATGGCAGCTTGAAATGCCTCAAAATCTTCCATCCACTGCAATCCTCAACATAAAACAACTCTCAGAACAGTTTCCGGTGCTCTGCAAACCACATAAAAAGAAAAAGAAAAGAAAGAACCAATGATCCACACTTATTGTTCATATTAGACAATGAAGTTCAGTTAGTCTTGATTGAAAATGTAGTAAGAGTACCCTTTCAAAATAAAAGATTAAAAAAAAAGAAGAAGAAAAAGACCCATACACCCACTTATCGTTCATATTAACTATTGAAGTTCAATTACTCTTGGTTGAAATTGTACTAGGGATTCCTTTTCTAGAGAGAAAAAGAAAAAAAAGAGAACCACCAATGATCTTCATTTATTTTTCATATAGGTAGTGAAGTTCAGTTTCTCTGCGTTGTAAATCATCTTCAAGAAAAAAGAATGTTGTATGAATATCTATAAGCTTTATCTAGGCATGTAGCCCATGGGAGTCGTTCACTTCACTAGTTCTTTCCTATTCAGTTGCAACTAAAGTAATTTACTCTAATTTCTTGAAAGTTACAGTAGACTAAGCCAAAATTTTCAAAATAAACAAGGAGAATACCCCCACGAATAGCTTGCTGTACCACCCATAACCACGTGAGATAATGAGAGCTGAAAGACATGATAAAAGAGCAGAAATGGTTGAAGATGCCTGTGGAGTTGCCTAGTGGCCTCATTGATGGTCTATGTAGACAATGCAAATAATAGAAAAAGTGGTCTACAAATCTGGTTGAGTCATGTGAAGGAGCAATATGCTCCTGACGCATGTTATGGAGAAAGGCATTGAATCATCTGATAAGATTGCTTATTCAAGGAGCATGAAAGGGTCCTTAACTAAGTAGGGCCTACTGTTGTAGGGAACATAGAGCCAGAAAGAGAATTATGTAAGCACTGAGTAAGCCAAAGAGGGGAAGGAAAGTCAAGTCTACTACAATGATATTCAATAGCCTCACTCTTAGGCTCAGTCAGTACTTAAGCACATGGCTTCCTCCCTTCTGGGGAAGCTTCTACGACTAGCTTTCCTAGCACTTATAAAGCGAACTTCAGCAACATATTGAAATCATTAATGTTTAATTATAATGAACTTCAGCAACTGTTGGTTATGACTTAGCAACACCTCAAATGATTATTGTTAGGACAAGGTGGAACAAGTAATCAAGCTCCATTTCTTTTAAGAACTGTTGTTTTGGTTCTTATGACAGGCTACTGATGAATTGATGCAGCCATGCCCCAACCAATAGTTCGTGGCTGGGTCAAGAACGGTTCGTAGGACCCAAGGGGGAAGAAAGGCGCAATAATGTAATTAACGGAATTATTTGGGCTTTATTTTTTTATTTCAAATGTTATTTCTTAAGGGGTAAGTTTAGTCATTTATTTTTAAGTTAAGAATGGGTGGCTGTGATTAAATAGGATGGATGGCCAAGATTATGTAGGAACTTTTTAGGGTCATGAGTTATCTAAATTCATTTTATTGAAGAGTTTAGGGGAGTTAAATTGTTATTTTTGCAGAGAACTTTTGGTGAATAAACTTTGGAGGTGGACTCCTTTTGGTTTTTGTGATTTTTCCTTCTTTCTCTACTCTTATTCTCTTTAAGGTTTGTTCTCTAGAGACCTCTCTGCGAATTTAGGTTCTGATTTTGCGAAAAAACAATCCTAATTTGCATCAATTGGTATCGCGGGTTCCGATGGCTTCAAACGAGACACCTCTCAATAGATTAAAGTTGTTGACTAAAGCAGTTCAAGCCCTAGTAGAGAGAGTAGACGAATTCATGCCCGTAGCTGAGAAAGTAGATGAGCTTGTGCAAAAGTTCGCTCAGCTTCAGGATGGAAGGAATCTTGAGACCAGTGTTGGAACTCAAGGCAACAGAGGTGAAAAGAGGTAGGCATCTTGTTCCTAACCAACCTCGGGCGGCCCCGGTTAATGAGGAATTCAATCACCAATTTCTTCGGTTGTTGGAAAGAGAAAAAGAACCTCGAATAAAAATTGATATTCCAGAGGTTCATGGTCGATTTCATGTAGATGATTTTCTTGATTGGCAAAGTAAAGTAGAGAAAGTGTTTGAGTACAAAGATATTGCAGATTAAAAAATAGTCAAATTAGTAGCCACAAAATTTTCTGGCCAGGCATTGGTTTGGTGGGATGCTTTGCAGCAGGATCATCATCGACAAGGCAAGGAAAAATTAATTCGTCGAAAAAGATTAAGATGAAGATGCGCCAAAAAATTTTACCAATAAATTATGCCCGAACCTTGTACCAAAGGTGTCAAAACCTCAAGCAAAGAGAAAATTGACTATACTGAGGAGTTCTATATTTTGACATCTAGTGCAAATTTACAAGAGTATGAAGATCAAAAAATAAGTTGCTACTTGAATGGGCTAAATCAAGGCATTCAAAATGAATTGACCTTCAAAGATGTCTATAAGATGTCTGATGCCTATACTTTGGCCCTCAAAGCAGAGGAAATAATCAATCTGAGCCTTGGGAGAAACAGTTCAATGACAAGAGGCTCTACTTCAACACAGGGGCAGCAAGCTTTAACCTTTAGAAAACCACCTATGGGACATAGAAACCAAACCACTCAGAGTTTTCCAATTAGGCCAAACACTAATATGGGGGGAGGTGGTGTTGGGCAAGGTGTGGGAGCACCTAAAACACCTCGTGATGATACACAAATTGCGTGTTTCAAGTGCCAACAGCCTAGGCATGGTGCATTCAATTGCCCTCACGTCAACCCACTATCAAAGTTAACTTGGTAGAAGAAAATTATGAAGTAGGAGTCGATGAAGGATACACCTATGAAGGCCAGAGTGATATTGGTACGAGCCAGTGTTATGAAGGGACTGAGCCTTTCAAAAGTGAGATTGAGGAGTTGTATGGAGATGAAAGGGGTGAACTCTTAGTTGCTCAGCGAACCATGCTATCAACCCCAAGACCTTGTGAGGAAGAGAAGTGCCTGTGACACTATGTTTCGAACAACTTGCACATCAGGAGGCAAGTTATGCACAATACCAAACGATGGTGGGAGCAGTGAAAATATTGTGTCTAAAGAGATAGTGGATAAACTTCAATTGAAGGAGCATAAGTACCCAAGCCCATATCACACCCAATGGTTCAAGAAGGAGGTGAGGTACCAGTTCTTACTCGATGTTTAATCTCTTTTTTCATTGGTGCTATTTATAAAGCTGAAGTGTGGTATGATGTGATGTAGTACCTATGGATACATGTCACATATTACTTGGTAGATCATGGCTTTATGATCATGATATGGTGCAGAAAACTAGACCAAACACTTATTCTTTTGTCAAGGATGGTATTAATACCACACTCCACCCTATGAAGCAACTTCCTACACCCAAATCCACTAAAGAGGAGGGTCCAAAATTGCTTAATGTGCAAAAATTAAAAGGGGGCAACAAGGATATAGATGTGATTTATGTGTTGTTTGCAAAAAGAACTTCCGCACCTACTGCAATTCCTAGGTCTCTGGAACCTCTACTTGAGAAGTATAAAGATTTGATGCCTGCAGAATTACTTGATGGTCTTCCTCCAATGAGAAATATTTAGCAGCACATTGACTTGGTGCTTGGGTCTAGCCTACTAAATTTGGGCCATTATCAAATGAGCCCCATGAAGAGTTGTACAGACAAGTTGTTGATTTACTTAAGAAGGGATTGATTCGAAAAGCATGTCACCATGTGCCGTCCCTGCATTACTGACTCCAAAGAAAGATGGGTCATGAAGGATGAGCGTGGACAGTTGAGCAATCAACAAAATTACAATCAAAAACCGATTTTCCATACCCAGGCTCGATGATATATTAGATATGCTTCATGGAGCCAAGGTTTTCTCAGAGATTGATTTAAGGAGACGGTACAATTAAATTTGGATTCGTCCTGGGGATTAATGGAAGACCGCATTCAAAACTCGAGATGGACTCTATGAGTGGCTTGTGATGCCATTCGACTTTCTAATGAACCAAGCACCTTCATGTGCCTAATGATTGAGGTCCTTCATTCTTTTATTGGTAAATTTGTTGTGCTTTATTTTGATAATATCTTGGTTTTTAGTGCTAACCCCCAAGATCATCTTAACCACTTGGACAAAGTTTTTGATGTGCTAAAGAATGAATCACTTATTTGGAATTTGAAAAAATATTCATTTACGACGGACAATGTCGCCTTTCTGGGGTAGTTTTTTTTTCATCTGAGAGAATTAAGGTGGATCAAGAAAAGGTGAAGACCATAGCTGAGTGGCAAAGTCACTCACTGAGGTGCATTCTTTTTATGGCCTAACAACATTTTATCGCCGCTTTATCAGAAATTTCAGCACTCTAATAGCACCAGTGACCGATTGTATGAGGACTGGAAAGTTTTCATGGAGTCTTGCTGTTAAAAAGAGCTTCACTTTAATTAAACAAAAGATGATGCAAGCACCAGTACTTGCCTTACCAAATTTTTTTAAGGTATTTGATGTTGAAACCGATACATCAAATATTTGTATAGGGGCAGTTTTAAGTCAAGAGGGGCGGCCAGTGGCTTTCTTTAGTGAGAAGTTGAATGAAGCACGTAAAAAATATTCAGTCTATGATCTCGCGCGTTATGCAGTGGTGCAAGCCTTGTGCTATTGGAGGCACTACCTGATCCATAGGGAGGTTGTTTTATACTCAAATCTTAAAGCACTTCGGTATTTGAATTCCTAGAAGAAGTTGAATGCGCGACATGCTAAGTGGATGGCCTTCCTTCAAGAATACACCTTCCTATTAAAGCACAAGGCTGGAACCCAAATAAGGCAGCCGATGCTTTAAGTAGAAGGGTACTATCTATGGAAGTGTTGGGGTTTGAAGTGATAAAAGACCAATATAAAGTAGACCCAATTTTCATAAGGGTCTTTGAAAGGTGTGTTGATGGGCAAGACCCTATGGGTGAGTATCTCATGCATGATGGTTGTTTATTTAAAGGTGTGAAGTTATATATACCTGATTGCTCTCTATGGAGAAGATAATCACAGAGCT